TTCAGATTTTAGCTAAAACATCCTTTCTCAAGCCGGGCTCGGTGGCTCAGCCTGTAATCCTGTGCCTTTGGGAGGCTGAGGTGAGTGGATTGTCTGAGCCTGCGGGTTCGAGACCCGCCTGGGCAACTTGGCAAGACCTCATCTCTACAATAAATCAAAACAATTAGCCGGGCGTGGTAGCGCGCGCCTGTAGTTCCAGTTACTTGGAAGGCTGAGGCGGAAGGATCGCCGGAGCCCAGCAGGTCGGCCACTGCACTCCAGTCTGGGCGACAGAGTGACTCCAACTCAAAAAAAAAAACAAACGAAAAAACCATCCTTTCTCAGGTCGGGCTTCTCTGATCTCAAGTAGGTCAGATTCCCATAGTACAAGCTTTCAGAGAATCATGTACCTTCTTCACCATGACATGCATCACAAATTGCAAGATTACATCTGTGTGATTTATTTGATTAATATCCATCTCTCCATGAAAGCAGCAACCTTACCTATTATTGGCCTCCAATGAGTGCCTCAATGAGTATTTGTTGAATGAATATGTCAGTGAATGAGTTAACTGATTTGGGGACATTCTGAAAAAAGGAAGTAGAGAGAAGACTTACATAAACAAATCATATATAATTTTTAATCATCAAAACAGACGTGTTAAGAACACCTACACTGCCAAGCTAGAATCAGGACGGGTTTAAAAATGGTTCCCTTTTAAAAAGAGAAATGCAAGTCTATTACCAATTCAACACAAAATCAGCTAGTTTATGTTGAGAAAGCAGATTTCTCTTCTTCCGACACGGAGATGAAGCCAGGAATAATGTGTAATTACCATAACAGAAGACTGTATTTAAGTAAGAAACAGATCCTACAAAATGTGACTCTTAATGCCTTTGGCAATGACATTGTATGCAGTAGACTAAAAATAAGAATACCAATATGATCCCTGTTATTGTAGGAAGTGTCAGACATTTTACACACAGTTGAAATAACACATCAACCTCTCACCCTCTCTCGAGAGCATCATGGTGAAGGTGAAAGAACATAGCAGATAGATCCAGTGATTATTTGTCATTCCCAATTCTGACTCCATATGGGACCTCACCGAGGTGATAGAGCCACATTTAGCAGAAGGCCCCTAAAGGAAGGTACGGAGGCCCAGAGGCCATCAGAATAGAAACCTGTAACAGTCACATAGAATTTTCAGAGTAAAAAAATTTCAATTCCAAAGAAACCATGTAATTCACTTTTCAAAAATATCTCTGATAAGATAGTAAAAATGAAAGTTAAATCTGGCATAATTACCTTGATTCCTGAGTTTAATGCCAGATAAAACCCTCTAGCCAAAAAAAATCTTTGTGCTATTTTATTTTAGTACAGAAGTCTGCTGGGTTTTAAAAAGTGTCGAAATGGTAACTCTTAGAGTAAGTATAAAAAAAGCACAGATCCTTCATCATCACAGTGCTTAATAGTGGTTTCTAAACTATTTATTCTTTGTTTTTTTTTTTTTTTTTTTTTTTTTTTTTTTTTTTGAGTTGGAGTCTCACTGTCGCCCAGACTGGAGTGCAGTGGCCGCTCCCGGCCACCGCAGCCTCGACCTGCTGGGCT